CCCAGAATGGCCAATAGCCACTGTGGTTAGGACACTCACACAGGACACGGGAGACCTCAGTTCAAGTTGTTGCTCCAAAACAGGAAGAGCAGAAACCTGAACACAGCTCTCCCAGAGCACAGGAGAAGGCCTTAACCACTAAGCTATAGGCTATTCAAGAGCAGTAACTCCCAACCTTTCCAAACTACTGTACCCCTTTTAGGAGTCTGCTTTGTCTTGCGTACCCCTCACTTAAAAACTACCTGCTTACAAAATCAGACATTAAAATCCAAGAGTGCCACAGCACATTATTACAGAAAAATTGCTTATGTTCTCATTTTTACCATATAATTATAAAATAAACCAATTAGAATATAAATATTGTACTTACATTTCAGTGTATAGTATATAGAGCAGTAAAAACAAGTCATTGTATGAAATTTTTGTTTGTACTGATTTCGCTAGTGTTTTTTATGTAGCCTGTTGTAAAATTAGGTAAATCTCTAGATGAGTTGATGTACATCCTGGAAGACCTCTGCGTAACCTCAGGGTTGTACTCCTGGTTGAAAACCACTGTTCTAGGGGACAGGTCAGGTGGTGGTGTTATGGAGAAGTTTCTTTCACTTTCATTTTTGACTGGAAATTTCAGTCTAGACATGAAAAACCTTCCTAACAAAAGTTTCATCAAAACTAACGCTTCCCTGCAAAAACTTCCAATTTCAACAAATTGGTGTTTTCTGACCAAAGAAAATCCAAAAAGCATTTTGTCAAAAAATTTCCACCCAGCTGTAATCAGATGCTCGGGTATGTGTATGGTTATATGACATGCGCTAGATCAGAGGTGTCAAGCTCATTTTGGAGGAGTGGGACAACTTTCATGTTTAATCATGGTTTGTGGACTAGGTTATAAACTCAGGGCTAAGTACTCCGCACAATATACAGTGAAATGTACAGAAGTTTTCACAGAGATCAAGAAAAGAATGAGTTTTTTATATTGTAATTAAATGTTTAGTTTAGTTATTTATTATTTGTTCAGCGCTCAGTGGAAATATCGGCCCTTTTTGGGGAACTGCTATTTCAGCCTTTTGTTTTTTCTCCTTCTCCACCCTCCTTTCCCTGTATCTCTCCCCATTTCCTGTTATGGTGAGTCTCATCTGTTGTTTTCTCTGCATTTCCTTCCCCATAGTAACTCCTAACCCAGTGTGCTTCACTCCTGCCCACTACCCCCATTCCATCTGCTAAAATGATCAACAAGAAAATATTAATGTTGACACTCAATTGTCATCATTAGAGATGATACTCCACTAAGATTTATAGCAAATGGGGAGTTTGCTCCATTTCATTGCTTTAGGCTGATTGCCGACTCAGGCAGATATCACTGTATCAGTTATAGCTGGTTCCCATTTGGAAGGTTCGCTCTGCAGACATGAGGGTTGGACGAGTCTCTTCACCATAGGCAGGCCTCCTCAAGGCAAAGCTTTGCATAGCAGCCTTTTCTCATTTGTCACCCCATGCTGACAGCCATGGTGGCACTTAGCTTGTCTGCCTCATCCTGTGGCTCAACCCTCTGACCAGGTCACTTTTAGTCCCACCCCTTCTGGGATAAACTGAGTCCAACAACACAGCAATAGTCTGGCAGCACCACACTAGAGATTCAGCCCAACTTCTTGCTTTGTAGACTTTCAAGTCCTTGGCTCTAGGGTCCTTGCACCACCACCCAAGGTGGGTGGGTAGGGGAACTCAGACCCACCCCCTACTTGGGGCTTCAGTTCAGGGACCCTGTATGAATGGAGAAGGTCTGTTTGGTCAGCTCCTCTGCTGTATCCCTTGTCTGTTTCCTACCATGGCCTGCAACTAGGCTTTTCTTACAGTCTCTTACCAGGCTGACTCTTCCATAGATCCCCAACAAGAGGAACCACACAAGTTATGGAGAACAAAAAGGCCCCACACCAGGCCTATCTACCCCAAGGGGGCTCTGACATTTAGGAGTCTCTGGTTAGAGTCGGGCCCCAGAGGCCTTCCTTCACAGGGCTAGCTCAAGAGGTCCACTCCCTCTCCCAATCAGCCTCTACTGAGATGGGCTTTTCCTCTTTTAACTCCTCCTTCCAGGTTTGACACCTCATCCAGATTTAATGGGGTGGGCCTCATTGGGCCCACAGACTCTCATTAATCCCTTCTTAGTCAGTGTGGGATCTGTATACCCCATCACAGATGTTGGGTTATGTCCATTTTGTATGTTGTGTATAATTTCAGGAACCCATATTGGTTCCCAAAATGGAGTTTGTGCCCAGGTGACCCAGCTGATCACAGTTTTTACGCTTTTTATTTCTCCTCAGAAGTGGTAAACAACTTCTGGATAAAACTGGGTTTTTTTACTGCCTTTTCCACAGGGTTTCCCTGAAGGGGTTTTCTGCTCCTTCTACAGGGTTACCTGGGCAAGGTTAGATACGTCTGTCCTGAGCTCTGCTCAGAGGTTGTCCATCTGAGTGACAGCAAGGGACTGTTGCGGGTCTGACTTGCATTTACCTACCCATCCTAGTGGTAGAGAGGACTAGAGTTTTCTTTTCACAGCTCTGCCTCCTCTTGGACCTGCAAGGAGAAGAGAAGGACAGACAGCCACATCCCACTTACCATCATCCATCTTCAGCTACTGTCCCCTGACATACTATCTACTCTTCTTCAGACCCAGAGGAACATCAAGGGACTCTCTGGAGCTCCTCTCTGATGGCTTTCAACTAGCTGGAGGATTGAGGTCCCAGGTAACAATTGAAGCTTAATCTATAGAAGAAGGTTTCAATTGAGGGGTTTACTTACCTGTTTATAGGGTTTATTTTGGGGAATCACTGTATTGCATAATTTTACTGTTTACTCCCTCCTTTTCTTTGCCCTATTCATTGTACACCAATTCTTCAATACACTTTATTTGTTTTTCACCTTATCT